AAGGAAAGCATTTAACTGGATGGTAACTAGTATTTGCTGTCCAAGTGATGTCTGCCTGAATGGGACCCCTAAACAGGAATTTCCTCCTCCTTGGTAACAGGTTTCATCCACTGGGCTTTCTCTCCAGGTCAGGCAGCTTAAGATCCCCAGTCAGAGTAGAAACCTGAACCCAGGGAAGAGAGAGGCTAAGGTGGCTTCTGCAGAACATAGTACCTTGGTTTGGGGGTGAACGTGTCATATTGGGGTTCTTTGTCTGAGTCTCAGGACAGGTCTCACTGGGGATGTTGGCTGCAGGTTGCTACTGCAGGTTGCTGCTACGTCTTCTTCATGGTCAGGTACTCCCCACACATGGACATGACCCTGACCATGGCCATGGTGTGGGGGGTAGGTGACTGTGAGGAAGACGTGTATGAGGCCTACCAGGCTGAATGGGAGGAAGCAGAGCCCTGGAACGGAGGTCATGTTCCAGGACCTCATCCCACCCCAGGCCTCCAGAGGTTCTGCTGTCAGAGCCATTTTCAAGATTTAAAAAGTGGGGCACATGCAATGGATTGTCCCATGTTACCAGCTAATGAGGGGCAGAGCCTGGAGTTGCACTAGGCTTATCTGACCTCCAAGTTCTCTTTCCCACTACTCTGGGGGAAGTCCCTTATTTAACACAAAGTTATGGCTTGTGTCATGTGTCTCCTGGTGGGGACCCAGGAACCTCCCCTGCAGTATCCTAGTACCTGGCCTGGGGCCTGGCCCTAACTGGAAGCACAGTGAATGTTTGTTGACTAAATAAATGAATGACACATTCCAAGCAGAGCCAGTTGCAAGTTCCCCCTGCAAAGGAAGTGGATGAAAAGTGAACCCACAGAGGCTGTTGAACTCTCTTCCTGCACCCTCAGCCCTGCTCCTCTACCCACAGTCTGGCTTCCAACTCTGTTCCTCAGCCCCCAGCTTCCCAGAGGGGCTCTGGATCTCACAGTCTGACCCTGGTATCCTTCTCAAAGGTCAAGGACACCAGGGATGAGATGCTCCCAGGCCTGTAGATGCTCAGGACCAGGGGTGGAGCAGAATAAAGTCCCTGTTCTTAGGGAGCTCCTGAACTACTGGGCAAGAGAGGCCCCAAACGTGTAGTGACACAAGTGACAAGAATTCCCTATAAGGGAGGGAGCATGAAGAGGCTTTGGGGGCAGGGAGGAGCCCTCTGTGGACTGTGAATGATGGGGAGGTCAGGGAAGCTTAATTTCTAAGCTGGGGACTGAGAGCCGAGCAGGAGTTGGCCAGATAAAGAGGTAAGAAAGGGGGAGAGGAAGAATAAGTTGGGAGATCCAGAGGAAGGAGATCATGTGGAACACCCAGAGACACGAAAGAAGGTCTGGCAAGGGCTGGAGAGGTGGCAGCCACAGAGATCATGCCCAGATCTCAGACAGCGGGGAGCTGCCTTTGTCTGCTCGGGATGACAAAATACCACAGGTTTAGTAGCTAAACAACAGACATTGATGTCTCACAGATCTGGAGGCCAGAAGTCCAAGATCAAGGTGCCGGCAGATTCAGTTTCCCGTGAGGGCTCTCTTCTTGGCCTGTAGACAGTTGCCTTCTCACTGTGTCCTCACATGGCCTTTTCTTCGTGTGTGCGTGCACAAGGGGAAGAGGAGAGTGAGCTTTACAGTGTCTCCTCTTACAAGGACACGAATTCCATGGGATCAGGGTCCCACTCTTATGACCTCATTTAACCTTAATTACTTCCTAAAGTCCCCTTTTCCAAATACAGTTGCAATGGGATTTAAAGCTGCAACATGTGATTCTGGGGAGGACAGAATTCAGTCCACAGCAGGAGCCATGGAAGGTTCTAAGCAGGGAGGCACTAGGGTCAGATTGGCCTTCGGGGAGCTCTTTCTGGCTGCAAAGAGGAGGATGGGCCACAGAAGGCAGGACTGGAAGCTGTCTGAGTGGTTGCTGTAGTCCAGAGGTGAGACGTGCCCCTGGACCAGAGGAATGGCATTTGGGAGGGAGTAGGGAGAGCTGCTTAATAAGCTTGGATCTGCAGGACTCCATGTGAAAGGAGGGCTTAGGGAGGGCGAGAGGTCAAGGATGACTGCCAGATTCCCAGGCTGGGTAACAGTTTCACGGGCATATGACCTGCATGGTCCCACACACCAAAGGCCCAGCGTTTGTTTGATGCTCTGTTGTTGCTGTCTTGAGTTATTAATAACTTTTTAACAAAAGGCCCTGAATTTTCATTTTGCACTGGGCCCTGCAAATTTTGGAGCGAGTCTGCGTGGATGGGGATCTGTGGACCTCTCTCCTCCACAGATCACCGGACTGGAGCAGGGAGGGAGCTGGCCTCCCTGTGACCTCTTTCTCTTGAGATGGTTACTTGATACTGGCCTTATTTCTGCCAAAAACAAAACAAGGACAACAAAAAAAACCCTCTCCTAATTAACACCCTCAGCACCACTAGCAGTTAAGGGCAAGGGCTTTAGAGTCTCTGAGAAGAGAGCAAATCAGTTGCTGAATTTATTGCCTTTAGGAATTTTTAAGACTCTGTTGCCTTATCTGTGGGGTGACCACATACTTTAGTGAGCAGCTCAGTACACTTCTGAGAATAGGAGGGGAAAGTGGGAATAAAACACTCACTATGCTGGGACAACGGGTGCCAACCAGGCCTGTCCCATGCAAACTGGGACACATGGTCCCCTACTTTTCTGTAAAATGAGATTAAATAGAACCATGCACAGAAAGCAGGATGCCCAAAGTAAGTGCTTAGTGAGTAGCACCTATCATTATTTATTTTTATTTTTATTTTTTTGAGATGGTGTCTCACTCTGTTGCCCAGGCTGCAGTGTGGTGGCGGGATCTTGGCTCACTGCAAGCGATTCCTGTGTCTCAGCCTCCCAAGTAGGTGGGACTACAGGCTCATGCCACCATGCCTGCTAATTTTTTTTACTTTTAGTAGAAACAGGGTTTCACCATGTTGCCCAGGCTGATCTTGAACGCCTAACCTCAGGTGATCCACCTGTTTCAGCCTCCCAAAGTGCTGAGATTACAGGCATGAGTCACTGCATCCAGCCTTCTTATTTTTTTTTCACACAGAGTCTCACTCTGTCACCCAGGCTAGAGTACAGTGGTGCAATCTTGGCTCACTGCAACCTCAACCTCCCAGGTTCAAGTGATTCTCTTGCCTCAGCCTCTTGAGTAGCTGGAAACAATCACCTGCCGCCACACTGGGCTAATTTTTGTGTTTTTAACAGAGATGGAGTTTCACCATGTTGGCCACGCTGGTCTTGAACTCCTGACCTCAAGCAATCCACCTGCCTCAGCCTCCCAAAGTAATGGGATTACAGGCATGAGCCACCTCCCTGGCCATCTTTTATTTATTTATTTATTTATTTATTTATTTATTTATTTAGAGTTTTGCTCTTGTTGCCCAGGCTGGAGTGCAATGGCATGATCTCAGCTCACTGCAACCTCTGCCTCCTGGGTTCAAGCGATTCTCCTGCCTCAGCCTCCCGAGTAGCTGGGATTACAAGCATGCGCCACTATGCCCAGCTAATTTTTATATTTTTAGTAGAGATGGGGTTTTACCATGTTGGCCAGGCTGGTCTTGAACTCCTGACCTCAAGTGATCTACCTGCCTTGGCCCCCAAAAGTGCTGGGATTACAGGCATGAGCCACTGCACCTGGCCATCCTATCATTGTTTCTACACTCTGCAGTCACTCTCAATTGGTGTCCAAATGTCATTCACTTGTCAATCAACTACTCATTACCCACCACGTGTCAGGCACATAGCATTGGTGCTCCTGATGTGAAGATGTACTGATAATTCATCTATTCAGCCAACATTTTGTGAGGAGCTTATATATGCCAGGCTAGGTTCTGAGGCTAGGCTCATTCTGGGGATCCAAAGGTGAGTGACACCACATGTCCTCCTGGGGCTGGCAATCTTGTAGGCTTTCGCAGGTGGAAGGGTATCTCCCAAAAATGCATGTTCACGTAGAACTTCAGAATATGATCATACTTGAAAACAGGGTCTTTGCCGATGTAATTAAGGTAAGGATCAAGATAAGATCACGCTGGATTAGGGTGGGCCTGAGATCCAACGAGAGTGTCTTTGTAAGAGACAGAAGAGTGCACAGAGACACACAGGAAAAGGCCTTGTGAAGACAGAAGCAGAGATTGGAGGGCAGGGGCACTCCACAGAATGCCAAGGATTTTCGCAGCAGCCACCAAAAGTTAGGAGAAAGGCATGGAATAAATCCTCCATCACCCAGGCTGGCGTGCAGTGGCATGATCTCAGCGAATTGCAACCTCCACCTCACACACTCAAGGGACCCTCCTGCCTCAATCCCCCAAGTAACTGGGACTACAGGCCGGCTACTTTTTGTATTTTTTTTGTAGAGTTGGTGTTTCACCATGTTTCCCAGGCTGGTCTCAAACTCCTGGCTCAAGCAATCCTCTTGCCTCAGGCTCTCAAAGTGTCAGGATTATAGGTCTGCACCACCATGCCCGGCTAATTTTTGTATTTTTAGTAGAGATGGGGTTTCACCATGTTGGCCAGTTGCTCTCAAACTCCTAACCTTAAGTGTCCGCCTGCCTTGGCCTCCCAAAGTGCTGGGATTACAAGCATAAGCCACCGTGCCTGGCCTGTGCAATTTATCTTTTTAAGTTTTTCCTGAAGTATAACATACATAAAAATACACAAATCCTGTGTACAGGTCAATACACCTTCATAAAATGAACCCATCTGTATAACCTGCCCCTAGGTCAAGAAGTGAACATAACTAGCTCCCTACCTAAACTACTTGGAGGCTGCAGGAGAATTGCTTGAACCCAGGAGGCAAAGGTTACAGTGAGCCGAGATCAAGCCACTACACTCCAGCCTGGGCAACTGAGTGAAACTCCATCTCAAAAATATAATAAAAAATTAAAGTTTTAAAAATTTAAAAAAATTGCACAGGTAGATGGATAACTCTAGACTGTGGCTTTGAAACAAAACTCATAGGTTCTAGGAGGCAGTATTTTTTAGTCAGCTAGGACTGCCATAACAAAATACCACAAACTGGGTGGCTTAAGCAACATACCTTTATTTCTCACAGTTGTGGAGGCTGGAAAGTCCAAGATTAAGATCCCAGCAGATTCCTGGTGAGGGCTCTCTTCCCGGCTTGCAGACAGCCACCTTCTTGCTGGGTCCTCAATGGTGGAAAGAGAGTGATCTCTTTTCTTCATCTTATAAAGCCACCCTTCTCTGTTTACAGTTTTGTAACATTGGTAATCAATGATGGTAGTCATTTATTGAACACCTGAGACATTTTACTATGAAGTAGGTACTATTGTTGTCCCTCATTCCCAAAGAGGAGGGTGGTGCTCACTTGCCTGTTCCTGGTAGATGGTGAATCTATCTCATACCCTCTGACCCCACTGTCACTGTCTCTGAGCCAGCCATGTCTCATGATCAGGACTGAGGTGGAGGTGGGGGGCGTTGGGGATCTTTCTATTTCCCTTACTACTGTCCCAGTGATGTAGAGGATGACAGCCTGGAGGGAGGTATCTGGGGCAGCACCTGGCCAGGCACCTGGTGGGTCGGTTTGCCCAACTGCCTGGGATGAGCTGCTTAGCCTCCCCTCTTTCCTGAGAACCCAGGGCAAGGGGGTGTCTGGGAGGGAGGAAAAAGAGGGACCCAGTCACCTGGGTCACGACCTGGAGTGGCAGTTGGGGAGGAAGTGGGACATGCTGGCTGCCTTCTTCAGCCCTGGCCTCCTTCCTTGCCATCCCCTGGGCCTGACTTCGGTGCCCACCTCCAGGAGGGAGAATCAGAGAACCAGACTCACCTGCCTCTGAGCAGCTATGGAGGCGACAGCCAGGTCTTAACAGCCTCTCCAGGGTCAGCTGAGGCCTGCCATGGGCACCTCCCCTCACAGCTGGACTGCTGTTCAGAACACCGCAGCTGCAAGAAATTGGAGAAGCGAGGAGGCTGAGCAAGGAGTTGGTGCCGGGGAGACCAGGGAGGAAGGGAATCTTAGGGCACCTCCTCGTTCCCCAGTTCCCGAAAATCTACTGTCAGGCTCTACTTCCCTAAACAGTGTTTAAGGGAAGCCAGCCCACTACCACGGGCTGTGCACTGGAGGCGCCATCACATAGGTGACCACTCGTGGCCTTGTGGGTCTCCGCTGCTGCCCACGCCAGCCCTGCTTGGGTCCCGTCCCCTCATCTCCTCACTCACAAACCTGGCTTCCCTAGCCCAGTACCCAAACCCATGCTTCCTTGATTCATTCTTTCCTTTAATATGTGTTTGTTAAGTGCCAGAACCACTCATGGGGCTTTTAAGTTCTAGGGACATAGTAGGGCCAAGGCAGTCACCTGGGCCTTTGCAGTCTGGTGGGAAGCTTGGAGAGATGGACATTAAGCAGACACAATGAAAGCTGGCTTGATAAAACTCCAATGAACCCTTTTGGGGATTGACCAGCAGTTTAGGTTCTCTCAATAAAATCCACAGCATGGCGCTCAGGAGACCATGAATGTTCAAGGCCAGGGTTTCCCTCTGCAACCTGGCCCTGCACATCTGGTTTTATCTAAAGTCCTGGTACCTGCCCACTACCAGCTCCAACTGAATCAGAGCACAGGGCTTCTACCAAGTAAATACAAATATTTAACCACTTACACCTACGACCACTAGTTGGCAGGAAAAGCATGGCAAGTGTGTTACATGGGAATTCAACCCCATTTTAGCCATCCAGGAGGGCTTCCCAGACAAGGTGACTTTTAAGCTGTGCTGTGAAGGATGACTCAAAGTTGACCCAGACCTCTTGGGGGAGAGAATAAGCCTTCCTGGCCCCTCAACAACCCAGACTGCTCAGCCACAGTCAGACAACCCACGCCACCAGACTGTCACTGAGATTTGACAGCCAAGACTCTCAGATACTGTCCCTCCCTGGCACACATACACACTCGTACCCATGATGACAGCCATGAGACAGCCCAGCAGCTGGACCCCTTTGCTCCCCACTCCCAGCCTGATGTCCACCCCAATAGTCAGTCCTTTGCTCCTTCTCTCTGCTTCTCATCAGAGTCACTGGGTTATGACTCTGGCTTCATATTCACTGGCCATGTGTCCCTGGGCACATTACTCAAGCTCCCAAACACTGTGCCTCCACTGCCAATGAGGGTCACGATCTTCCCCGCCTCTCAGGGCCACAGAGGTGGTTAGGGCTCGTAATTCCACTAAAGCACCTTTGCAGCATCTGCTTAGTGTGGTTGCTGTCACTGTCATCTGCTGTGGCCTTGCTCTGGCCCTACCCCCATGCCCCTCCTTCTACCAGCCTACTGTCCCCCAACTTCTGCCTGGGTCTCCTCTCTTTCTCCTCTCCCTCCTTCCAGAGTCTGAGACCCAGAATTCCTGAAGGGCTGGGGATAAGGAAGGGGGAGCCAGCTCCCCAAACAGAAATGTCACCTGCATGTAGTCCCCAGCGGAGGGGCTGAGTGAGAGCTTTCTGCTCAGCCTTGAGAACCTTGGCCTAACCCCTTACCCAGGTTTGACACAGGCTCAAACCTGTGTCAGGTCAAACCCCACCCCAGAGACAGAGCTAGGTAGGTCAGGCCGCTACCTGAACCTGTCCGCCATCTGCAAGCCAACCAGGGAGGGGACTGGCCTCGCCCCCTCTGGGGGTGCACATGCTCTGGGACCTAAGTCCACACAGGAGAGCAGGAGGTGGAGAGCACCTCACAGAGGGGTGTTGGAATCCCACGGCACCCTCTACTTGTCCGGGTCATGTTTGAGAAGTCGCCTCACCTCTCCGAGGCTTGGTCTCCTCATTGGTAAGATGAGGCTGGACAATTCCTGCCAACCGCCCACTCAGGGCTGTTGGGAGAAGCAAGAGTTGAGAAGAGGGAAGAAGAGAATCCTGTCAAGCCTGGGAACCAATGCCTTTCCGTCGCCGGCCAAACTGTACGTTTTGGCCAGCAGATGGCGCCATAGAAGCGCCAGTGTCTCAGCACCAGGCCCAGGACATTTGTTAAACGTAGCGAAACCGTCTTACTCAAGAGTCCAAACTCTGGAGCTGATGGATATCAGATTCTACCCCCTTAAGCGGCTCATGCCTGTAATCCCAGCACTTTGGGAGGCCGAGGCGAGTGGATCACAAGAGTTCGAGACCAACCTGGCCCACATGATGAAACCTGTCTCTACTAAAAATACAAAAATTAGCCAGGGGTGGGGGCAGGAGCCTGTAATCTCAGCTACTCAGGAATCTGAGGCATGAGAATTGCCTGAACCCAGGAGACAGAGGTTGCACTGAGCCGAGATCACACTACTGCACTCCAGCCTGGGCGAAAGAGTGAGCCTCCAACTCAAAAAAAATAAGTAAAATTATATATATATGCGCCAAACAAACAAAAAAAACCTCACATCACAAACCCAAAACTGAAGCACAATGCTTAAGTGAAAAAAAAAAAAAAAAAAAAAAAAATTATACCTCCTTAATAACAATGTGACTTGGTAAGCTGCTTAACCTCTCTGAACCTCAGTTTCCCCATCTGGCATCCCTTCTTCTGAGGTTGTTGGAGGATTGATTTGCTCCAGGGTGCAGAGCGCAGCGCCAGTGCTCAGTGACATGACTGGTAAAACCCCCTCAGGAGCGAGTCTGCAGCTCCATCCATTCCTGCCAAGCGGCCCTGGCTTCAGCCACACCCCCATTCCCACTCCAGCCAGGTCCCCAGGTTTCACTCGCACCCTCCACCCTCGGCCTGGAATGTTCTCTCCCTCCTTTCTTCATGATTTCCTAGGAACTTCGAGACTTCTTGGGTTTTTTTCTAATTGTATTTTTAAAACTTTATCCAGGTATTATTTATAAATCATACAATTCATTCACTTTAAGGGTACAAGTCAATGATTTTCGGTAAGTTTACCAAGCTGTGCTCACGATTTGATTTTCAAAATCATGCATCTCAAATTCTACCTCTTTCTTGAGTCCCAGACCATGTGTGCTGCTGCCCCTTGGCTGTTGCCCCCTAGCTGGCCCCTGCCTTGCCAACTCAGTACATCCCCAGCCAGATCCATCACTGTCCTCCCTTCCCTTCTCCTCTCCCAGGTTTCCCATGTCCCTTCTTGGCCAGGAATCCCATCCTTTTTCTCTGTGTTCTTAGTACTTTGTTCAGGACCTGGTACATAGTAGGTGCTCAACAGAGGTTTGGAGAGTGGGCTGCACACGTGGCTCACACCTGTAATCCCAACACTTTGGGAAGCTGAGGCAGGCGGATCACTTGAGGTCAGGTGTTGGGGACCAGCCTGGCCAACATGGTGAAACCTCATCTCTACTAAAAATTACAAAAATTAACTGGGCGTGGTGGTGTCAGCTGTAATCCCAGCTACTTGGGAGGCTGAGGAGGCAGGAAAATCACTTAAACCCAGGAGGTAGAGTTGCAGTGAGCTGAGATGGCACCACTGCTCTCCAGCCTTGGCGACAGAGCAAGACTGTCTCAAAAAAAAAAAATAGTTTTCTGAGTGAATGAATAAAACCAATGTGACCCTTTACCCACGTTTGATTGTTCACCCCTCACCTCCCACCACCCAGTCACCTGTTAGATCTACCTTGGAACTATCTGCCTGATGCTCACCCTTCCCACAGTTCTGCTCCCCTGGCCTCATACTCACCCACACCCTGCCTCACTCTCCTCTGTTTTTTTTTTTTTTTCCTTCCTCTCTGCTCCATCCCGGAGTGACTTCTCAGAAAAGCACACATGATTCCACCTCTCCCTAAGAATGTGCTACCCACACATCTGCAATGGTGTTAATACCCTCAAGTCTGACACCAGCAGCCCCCGGGATCTGGTCCCAGCCCATCTCTCAGACTCAACTCTCTCCTTCCCCTCCCCAACTCTCTCAGACTCTAATCATCCTAAACCACAAGAGCCGTATGATGCCATGATTAAAAGGCAGGACGGGGTCAGCCTGCTTGGAGACCACATCCCAGTGGCAGCGCCTCTCTGAGCCTCAGCTTCCTCGACTGTAAAATGAGAGTGACAATAACACTGACCTTGAAAAGTTGTTGGGAGGTTTAAACGAGATGATGAAGGTAAAGCGCTTAGAAAGGGCTTGATACACGGTCCATACTCAATGTTAGTTTCATTTCACTGACAACCAGCTGAATTTCTGCTCCCCAGGGATAGATGTCTTTCCCCTTTCTCTCCACCAGGGGTGCTGCAACCCATTTCACAGAGCTGGAGAGATCTGCTCCATTTGGGCGGTCTTCCCCAGGTCAGGCTTTAGCTAGCTCTTCCTGGGCCACAGAGCTTACCCACTGGGACCCCTCCTGCCACCTCTCCCAGGGCCAATCCAACCCCAAGTCTTGCTCCACTTACCTCCCAAGCAGCCCTCAAATTTCTCCCTTTCTCTCAGCCTCATGCTGTCTCCCTGGCACAGGCTGCCAACGTGCCCATGCCTCGTCCACTCTGCCCCTCCAGTGTTCCATCCAGAATGGACAGCTGTCCTCACTGTCCTTCCCTATAAAGCCTACACTGGCTCCTCACTATGGTCCACTAGAGCCTCAGCTGCATAATGCACCCCTCCCTTGTGCCAGCTAGGTTCCCGCCACACTGGCCTCACAAGCGCCCTGCCCCCTCCCAGCTCAGGGCCTTCACACGTGCTGTTTCTGCCTCCTGGACCCTCTTTCCCCACCCTATCAGTCCTTATTCAACTCCTTCAGATGCTGACCTCTCCAGAGATGCCATCTCTGACCCTCTCATCACCAGTAGTACATCAAGGTCCCCTGTGATGTCTTCATAGCACTCTGTACTTCCTCTCCTTAACCCTTATCACTGTTTATAATTATGTATTTGAGTGGCTATTTGAGGAATATCTGCCTTCCCACTTCCTTTAAAAGTTTCCTGAGAGTGAGGCTGTGGATGTCTTTCATTAGGTCCCTAGAGGGCTGGCATATGCCAGAGGAATGAATGAATAAAAAGGGACTATTTCCTGACATGTCTTCTCCCATGTCAGGTCCCCAAGGGCAAGGCCATGGCCCAGGTCTGTATTCCCAGGCTGATCCCCTACCCCACCTTGGCTTGAAACTTCATTGGGAATCAACAAATGCTGTACAGATGAATGATAACACCTTTTTCCTAGTTTCCTTAAGCTTGATATTTTAACTGCTCTTTTTTTTTTTTCAGATGGAGTTTTGCATTTGTTGCCCAGGCTGGAGTGCAATGGGGCGATCTCAGCTCACTGCAACCTCTGCCTCCCAGGTTCAAGCAATTCTCCTGCCTCAGCCTCCCAAATAGCTGGGACTATAGGCATCCACCACCATGCCTGGCTAATTTTTTTGTATTATTAGTAGAGATGGGGTTTTACCATGTTGGCCAGGCTGATCTTGAATTCCTGACCTCAGGTGATCCACCCACCTTAGCCTCCCAAAGTGCTGGGATTATAGGCGTGAGCAACCGTGCCTGGCTGATATTTTAACTATTCTTAAATAAACTCTGAGCCGGGCGTGGTGGCTCACACCTGTAATCCCAGCACTTTGGGAGTCTGAGGTGGGCGGATCACCTGAGGTCAGGAGTTTGAGACCAGCCTGACCAATGTGGTGAAACTCCATCTTAAAAAAAAAAAAGAAACTCTGATGTGTTCTAATAAAATATTATTAATAATAGTATCTACATGGGCATTGAAGTTGGCTGTCACTACCCACTTATTCTCTCAGGAAAGCATATTCTTTGATCATGAATATCTCTGCAGGCCTCTGTAATTCACTTTTCCCGCCCTGATTGACTCTATTGGCAAAACAATCACTATTTTCCTGCTTTTACAGAAGAGAAAAATAGAAGTTTAGGAAGATTAAGGGGCATGTCCATGGGTGGCTGAGCTGAACTTCTGTGTCCCAGCCCTGTAACTTACCACTCACCTCCCAAAGCCTAGACTTTAAGCCACCCCACTGTACTTTTTTTTTTTTTTTTTTTTTTTTGAGGCGGAGTTTCGCTCTTGTT